AGCTATTGTTCAGCTTTTCTTTTTTTTTTACTTCATCATATCAGATTTAATCATTTGGCACACAATCTGCATTGTTGTAGAAAATGATATTTTTAGTCTGTGTTGATTGTAAAATGAATTGTTCCTAAATTTCTTGGTTTTTAAATTCATGGAATAGATGATTTTGTCATAAAACATTTAAAAGGAGCATTTTTGTTACACATCTGTTTAAAAATCAGAAAAAAGCTTCTGTTGTAATCTGGCTCCATCTTATATTACAGATCTTATTGTTCCATATTTTCTAACAGAGCACTTTGGTCTCAGGCTGCAGGTTTACTTGTGGTTCCTAGAGTTTCCAAAAGCAGAATGGGAGGAAGATCTTTCAGTTCTCAGGCTCCTCTCTTGTGGAACCAACTTCCAGTTTCTGTCCGTGACGCTGACACATTATCCAGTTTAAGACTTTCCTTTTTGATAAATCCTATAGTTAGGGTTGGCTTGGTTTCCTGAGCTGTCCCTTAGTTATGCTGCAGTAGACTTGGACTGCTGGAGGACAAACTGACCACAGTTCTTCAAAAGAATAGTTACAAATGAATAGTTTGTGTTTGTAATTATTCATATCTGAATGTGTTTTTTGTCTTTCCTCCTATAGAAAGCCCATCTGCACGTGTCATTCTGTGTTCGTTTGTCTCAAACCCAACCAGTCAAAGCAGGTGGCCGCTTGTCCTGAGCCTGGTTCTGCTGGAGGTCTCTTCCTGTTCAAAGGGAGGTTTTTCTTTCCTCTGTCTCCTTTTTGCTTGCTCAGGATGGGAGACTGAGATAAAGTGAAGATTCAACACAATCTGCTGCTTCCTTAGGCAGAGAACTTTAACTAATTGGCTGTTTATGTATGTGAATGTTTTTGTGCAGTAGTAAATAAATCAACTGAACTGCATGGAACTGTTCATGAGCCTGACGTGTCAGAGGAACTAGAAAAAAAAACTGAATTAAAGAAACGTTTGTTGGAAACTTGACTGCATAAATCAAAGCTCCTCGAACACTTTTCAACTTGCTCATTCTGCAGTGTTACGACGGGGGCTGGCTGCGGGTCACGGTCCACTGCAGCAGCAGATGCTTTATTACAGTAATCAACACTTTGATCTGACAAGAGATGAACAAAAAGGATAATGATTCAAGTTTAAAGATGTTGAATTTGAATAAAAGAAACTTTCTGAAAAGATTTTCCATCTCAGCTCGAACTTGATGCTTAAAAATCACAAAACCTCAAATCCAAAAAAGTTCAATCTGGTCCTCTGGACATAAAAAAAAAAAAAAAAAACGAGGGGGGGGGGGGGGGTTGAATGTCCAGAGGACCAGATTGAACTTTTTGGGATTTTTCTACCTGGATTATTGAGCATGCATCAGGATACAAAACCTCAAAGTTTACATACGGGCTACATTTATCAAGGAACAGACGATTATCACAAACTGGCAAAGTATATTAGCAAAATATTGCATGAATGACTGGACTGCACTTAATAAAACCTTTAAAGAATAGTTATGTCCACTACTGGTTGACAATTGAAGAACATTCAATTCAAGACGGCTACCATAGAAACTGATCTAACAAAATAACAAAACAACTTTAACTCAGTCTGATTTACAGATGTGTTTAAAATTTGGTGTGGTAGTAGTTGAGAGTCATCCCCAGCCTGTTCTGTGAGCATGCCATCCCACAATCCTACAGGAAATAGAGCCTAACAGGCTTGACCTAAATATATAAGATGATATTTGTCTAAAACAGCAGCAGGCACATTGTGCAATGTGCAATTCTTCAAGAAATGTCATGACCTAAAATCACATTTTGTGTCTTAGACTTACTGCTCGTATGAAATAAAATGGATTAAAACTGTTTAAACCAGGATGAGTTTTATTAACTGTCAGACATTTGTCTTGGATTTTCCACTTCCTGTAGCTTTCTGTGGGTCACAACAAATCCTCTTGTTGTATCATGAGAGATTTTCTGCACACAATGAGCTCAGGTTACAGCCCGAACAACAACTTTAGCTGTTAGTGAGTTTTGGAGACTAAAGCCCTCCTCCTGTTGGTGAGTTGACAGCGTTGGAACAAAGCGAACATGATGTTCTCTGTCCAATCAGCTCGCAGAGCCAGTTGCAGCCACACACTCGCTGAGGATTATCTGACCCTTTTGGTATTTGAGGATTTCAAAAAGAAATCTTAGATGTAGTTTCCAAATCCACTAATGCTGAGCTGCATGTGGGGGTGGTGGGGTATGGTCCTCCTGCACCATCAGACATCTCATCCTGCAGAACACTGAGCAGAGTTCAGTCCTGTTGTCTTTAAGGACACAGTATATTTAGAACTGATCCACTATAGTTTTCACTAAACTTTCAGTCTTAGCCACCAAAGAACTGATGATTTTAACCTTCATGTCAGGAGGAGTTTTAAAATAAATATATAAATGTGTTATCTTTCAGTGCAGCCCTTAATTCTTTCAGAATTCAACTCCAGCTCTCCACAATGATGAAACAATGTGGCCCAGCCGCACGTAAAGAGTCAGACTGGGCTGCAGGTCCTGGTCCAAACGGTTTGGTTTGGTTTTGGAGTTGTATCGCTGTGCTTATTTGCTGTATTGTTTATTTACTTATTTATAAATTTAATTATTTATATGTATTTATTTATGTGTTTGCTTATTTATAAATGTATTTGGTTTTTTGTTTATTTATTTATTTATTTGTGTGTTTGCTTGTTTATATATTTTTATTTTTATTTATTTTTGTGTTTGATTATTTATTTATTTGTTTGTTTATATTTTCTGCTTATGTGTTTGCTTGTTTATTTATTGATTTATTGGTTTATTTTTATTTTTTATTTTTTTATGTGTTTGCTTGTTTATTTATTCTTTTATTAATTTATTTGTTTATTTATATTTATTTATGTGTTTGCTTGTTTATATATTATAATTTATATTTATTTATGTGTCTGATTATTTATTTATTTATTTATTTATTTGTTTGTTTATAATTATGTGCTTGTGTATTTGCTTGTTTATTTATTCATATTCATGGGTTGTTTGCTTGTTTATTTGTTTATTTGTTTACTAACATCAGGTTTAAAGGGAAAGCTGAGTTACACTGAGAGAAAATGAATGTTTGAGTTTCTCAACAAGAAGCCGTGCAGCTCGCCTCCTTCAAGCTCTTTTTAAGATGTTTCATAGTTGCTCTAAAACTTTTGCTTTTCTCCCTAAATTTTAAATTGTCTGCAGTTTTTCCTGAGCTTCATTAATAGTTTATTATAAGAAGATCTATTGTTTTGTTAAAGGTTGGAGACTAATTTTAAAATTGTATTTAAAAAAAATGTTGACATGAGATTTATTTTTCGGTTCAGTTTGGGCCTCCTGTCAGAGTTTCATTGATCCCAGCTGATTTCTGTGCGTGTCGTTAACAGGATCCTTCACTGATTCATTCGTTAATGCCTTCAAAGTTGTAAGAAACAAATAAATAATGCTGAGTCAGATTAAATTCGAACAGCATTTGGAGATGAAAAAAACACGTCCTTATTAATTCAAAATAAATTTTAAACACAACTACAATTAGAGCAGTGAAATAATAAAATCAAGTTCAAATAATTGTTTGTGGAAAACTTTCGATTTACTTAAAAATTCTTGTTGTTGTTGTGTTGTAGCTGTGCAGAAGTCCTGAGTGGGCCTCTGTGAGTGTTTCTGCCCCCCTGTGGCTCTCTGACACTTTGAGGTTTTTTAAAAAACATTCATCCTTCACAGAAAACAGTGCGGCTCCAAAATGTTCCTCATTCAAGAATAACATCAAACTGTTGGTCATTCTGCGTGGCTTTGGCCTTAAAGATGTTTTATTGTTTGACAAAGGGCTTTCTGAGACATTTGAACAGATTTCTGCTGACTGAGAGCGTGTGTGACTTTGTTCCGAATAATTAATTTGGGGCATTAAAACTTTTCTGGAAGTGTTTGAAATCTTGTGGATCTTCTGTGGCGGTGTTAAGTGGCTCTGTGTGACTCCAGGTGGCTGCAGCTGAGAGACACACACATCACAATAAATGGGTTTTACTGATGTGGAACTCACATGCAACATGGCACGTTTTTGTCTATAAAGTCGTTTCATGCATGTCTTTATACATGCGTGTGCAGTTAGCATGGCAGCTTCATGTGACAACAGCTACGTGCAAAATCAAACTGGACTCTTTTTTTGTGCTGCTGTGGAAAGAAACGTGATCAAAATTCTGCTTTAATTTAAACCAACTGATGCGTTCTGCAGAATCACTTTCATTTTACTGCCTGCCACTGATGGCAACGTTCTTTTGTCACTTAGCAAAATCTTATGAACCACTGGACAGATTTTATTCAATTCAGTCCAGTTTATTTATATAGCGCCAAATCACAACACTGTTGTCTCAGGGACTTTACAGGAACATTCACATACAGTACATGGAAAAGACAATTAGCAAAGTTCTTCATCTGAGGAAGCAGCAGACATGTTGAACCTTCACTTCGTCACAGTCTCCCATGTATTGACACTTTTATTGAAACATTCAAAAGCTAATTAATGGATGTGCATCTACAGCTGATGAACTTTTGAAGTCAACCCAACTCCAAACGGCTGCTACAACTAATTGACATTAGCAAACAAATAAATAACTTTAACTAAGTCATTGTTCATGCACTGTATTGAGCACAAGCTTGGTGCGGTAGTAGCTGAGAGTCATCCTCAGTACGTACTCAGAGTGCCACATATTGTGCAAAATACTTCCTTAAACTTTTACACTTAACTCAGCATCAATTCTGGCTGTCTGTTAGTAAAATATTTCATGACGTAGTGAACATATTGTGGATGTATGTTTACTAACAGCATCATAAGATGATCTTGATTCTGACATGTGGTGTTAAATGTGATGTGCCTTGCTTTAGGGAAAACAAGGCCCTTTTGTGTTTTTCTTCTTAAAACAAGATATATGTAGACTTTTACTGAAACAAAATGCAGTTTCCATCAGGTTCATGTTGGTTTGTGTTTGTGGCAGGAAGGGAAGAGATCTTCATACGCAGGTGGACGTGAACATCCGCTCTCATCCAGGCGCCCTCCAGCACGTCCTGTCTTCTTTGTTCTGCAGAAAAAGAACAAACATTAAATCTCAGACAAACACTCACAGGCTCAGTTATGTTTCAACCATTTAAGCCCATAAAAGAAAGCCCAGTCTGTCGCTCCTTCATTGTCCTGTTTGGCATTAACTGGTGAAAGGCAGTGAAACAGGTCAGGAGCCGAGCCAACAGGAGTGAAAGTGGGTGTGTGCTCATGTGATCAGGGCAGCAGTTTACAGTCACGGCAGGTTAACTGTATTATTCCTGCTGTCTGTTTGGATTAAAGCGAAATGCATTCCTGGAAACCTGCTGCGAGTAATTGTCTAAAAACAATAAAAGACAGTGAAAACTTGGAATGCCGCTTTGTGTTCATAGCAGCACGTCAAAGAGAGGATTTTTTAAAATAAATGGGATCGTGCAATTAGAAGAATAAAAAATGTTTCAGCTGGGGGTGCAAGAACAGGCGGCAACATATGACTTCAGTTTAATCCCAAAAATTGTACTTTATTCATAAAGTATATATGAAAAATGTTTGTGAAGCTGTTTTAAATTCCAGCAGGATTTTTAATTAATAAGTGCAGTGACTGTAGTCCTAAAGATTCATTTTTTTAACCGCTCAAGAAATGTAAATACAACCCTAGTTTGAAAATAGTTTGGAATTTGCATAAAATAAAATAATTACATGCCATATATCCTAATCCGTGCCCAATAATCCAGGTAGAAAAATCTAACAAAGTTAAGACGGTCTTCTGGACAGATTATTTTTGTTGAAATGCTTCAACGTGCAGAGGACCAGAGTTTGTTGGATTTTTCTACCTGGATTACTGAGCCTGAATCAGGATATTTTTGAACCACTTTGGTCATGGCTGCCTCAAACAAGTTGGCGGGGGAGAGGGCGGACTCCAGAAACCCTCTGAGCACCATCAAACTGGTTGGCCCACTATGTGAAGATGCTGTTAATAAACCCGTTTGTTGTGGCTCCTTGGACTGATGGTCTTTATGATGAAAGATGAAACATTTCAACAAAAAGAAACAATCCAGAGGACATCTTAACTTTGTCAAATTGCATGCAATGATTTGCAAATTATTAGTTTTAGAGAAAATTGTTCTATATTTTGAAAGAAAAAAGAAAATAGCAACTGCTTCATTAAAGTTGGGACAGAGACATCAATAGGCTGTAAAAGTAAAGTAGGAGTATTTTGTAATTAATTAGGTTCAAAAGCAACAGACCAGAAAGAGGACTGTGTAAAAAATAACATTTCAGAGGCTGAAGCCCTCTGAAGTAAGGCTGGGTAGAAGATTTCAAGATTTAAAGTATCTAAAGAAATCTCTGAGCTCAGAGGAAAAGACTGAAAGTCAAAAATGGATGCTGGTGAAAAATTGTCAGGATTTGGTTGTCAGGATTTGGTAGTCAGGAACAAACCCAGTTGTGCAGACAGGACTCAACTCGGCAGATTATAAAAATAAATATTTAATGGAGGAGTGTATTTACAAAATAACACGCTAACGAGGCAGCAAAACTTACGTGACAACAGAAGGCTCAGAGAGAAACTCAGGGAGGACTCAGGAGAGCTCAGGGGAGACGCAGGAGAACGCAGGAGAACACAGGAGAACTCAGAGACCCAACGAATACGACCCGACGAGGAACAAAACAGAACAGGAGGCTTATATACAAGGACAAGACAAGACGTGATTACAACAGCTGTGACGAGACAAAGGTGGCACCAATTAAACTGACGAGGAAACACTAGGGAAACACAGACACAAACAGAACCAGCAAATGGTACCATCCTTACAAAAATGGATCATCAAGCAGCACTGCCAAGGAAACAGGTGTGATTCTGTTCTGGACATCACTGCACAAGCTCAGAAACACGTTCAAAAATCTTCATCTGTAGACACAGTTCACCATGTCATCCACAAAGCTCGATCACGCAAGAAGAAGACATATATGTGAACGTCATCCAGAAATGTTGCTGTCCTTTCTGGGCATTAAAATGGATTGAAGCAAAGTGGAGAACTGTTCTGTGCTCTGACAAATCCAATAAATGTATTATGTTGAACATTATGAGGACATTTATTAAGAAAGGAATAGTTGTCAAAAATACAATGAGCCAAGCAATTAGTAGGCCGGGCCTTTCAGGACACGAGCTAAAAATTCAGTAGGTAACGAAAAGAAGAAGTTAAGGACACTTAATGTGGTTTTAGAATATTAAAGCATGTGAACCAGCTCAGCTGACTGGGCGCTGCTCTGCTGGCGACCGGGACTCGTGCACTATCGCTGTTGTTTTTATCATTTTATTGAACTATGTGTTTTTATTGAATTATGTGTTTTTATTAATAGGTGTTTTATATTTTTGTATTTTATTATGGGGTTCACATGATTTTATTGGTTGTAGTGTATTTAATTGTGGAAGAAGCTTTGTTAGCGCACAATGTCCAAGACAATTTTCTCCTTGGGGACAATAAAGTATACATCTATCTACGTCTGTTTACCTGAACCACTTCTTCAAACGTGATGCTACAGATTAAAAAATAAATAAAGCATTGTATTTGTTAGGGAATTTTTGATCAAAGGTAATGGATGTTGTTATTACTATGGCTGAGAATCTTAACTCTGCCCATGAAACATACTGTATGTTTGGGTTAGTGGGGAGAGCTGGCTAAGGCTGCAGCATGCAACTTCAGCCAAGGATACCTCCTGCACTCTGTGAACTCAGATGAACTGATAAGGGTATAAAAGCAAGCGAGGAGACAGCTCGGGGCATATTCTCATGACTGGTCTTCATGTGTGCTTCGTGCATATTTGTGTAACCATCCATCCATCCATCCATCCATCCATTATCTTTCTCTTATTCCGAAGTCGGGTCGCGAGGGCAGCAGCTTGAGCAGGGAGGCTCAGACATCTCTTTCCACAACCACCTCTTCCAGCTTTTCTGGAAGGATTCCAAGGGGCTCCCAGGCCAACTGAGAGACATGATCTCTCCAGCATGTCCTGGGTCTTCCCCGGGGTCTCCTCCCAGTCAGACATGCCCAAAGCACCTCCCTAGGGAGAACCCAGGGGGCATCCTTACCAGATACCCCAACCACCTCAACTGGCTCCTCTTGATGTGGAGGAGCAGCGGTTCTACTCCGAGTCTCTCCTGGATAACTACACTTCTCACCCTATCTCTAAGGGAGAGTACAGCTACCCTGCGGAGGAAACACATTTCAACCACCTGTATCTGCGATCTCATTATTTCGGTCACTAACCAGAATTGTGACCATAGGTGAGGGTAGGAACTGACCGGTAAACAGAGAGCTTTGCCTTACACCTCAGCTCTCTCTTCACCACAACCAACTGGTACAGAGTCTGCAATACTGCAGATGCTGCGCCAATCCATCTGTCTATCTCATGCTCCATTCTTCCCTCACTAGTGAATAAAACCTTGAGATTCTTGAAATCCTCCACTTGAGGCAGAACCTCCCCCTTGACCTGAAGAGAGCAATCCACCCTTTTCCGGTTCAGGACAATGGCCTCAGATTTGGAGGTGCTGATTCTTATCCCAGCCACTTCACACTTGGCTGCAAACCACTCGAGTGAGAGCTGAAGATCACGGCACAATGACGCCAACAGGACCACATCATCTGCAAAAAGCAGAGATGGAATCCAGAGGCCAATGAACCAGAAACCCTCCGCCTCCTGGCTGCACCAAGAAATTCTGTCCATAAAAGTTATGAACAAAATCGGTGACAACGGGCAGCCCTGGTGAATTTCAACTCCCACCCTGAATGGGTCTGACTTACTACCGGCAATGTGAACCAAATTCTCGCACTGCTTGTGTAGGGACTGAACAGCCTATAACAATGGGCCCCAGTGCCATACTCAAGGAGCACCATACACTGTGTACCCCAAGGAACATGGCTGAATGCCTTCTCCAAGTCCACAAAACACATGTAGACTGGATGGGCAAACTCCCACGGCCCCTCAAGGACCCTAGTGAGGGTAAAGAGCTGATCTAGTGTTCCACGGCCAAGACGGAGCCCTCATTGTTCCTCCTGGATCTGAGGTTCAACCAGGGATTGGACTCGCTTCTCCATTACCCCTGAATAGACCTTACCAGGGAGGCTAAGGAGAGTGATGCCCCTATAATTGGAGCACACTCTCCGGTCCCCCTTTTTGAAGAGTGGAACCACCACTCTACTATGCCAATCCAGTGGCACTGTCCCCAATGTCCATGCAATGTTGCAAAGGTGTGTCAACCAAGACAGCTGTTGGATTAATTCAGGTTTTAAATTCAACTAAAAAAAAAGAATAAAAAATAAGTAATAAACAAAATCCTTGACACTCGTAAAACAAAGAAACATTTTATTCTGGTCAAAGAAACTCTTAATTAAACTCAAATTGAAATGTTTAGGTCAAATAAATTAGGAAACTAAACTCGAGTTGAAATACTTGGATTAAATTAATCAGGCTTAACTAAACTCAAATTGAAATACTTGGGTCAAATTAATCAGTCCACATGAGTTTATCACATATTGAAAATGTTTAGCGTTTAGGAGCTGTTTCCTTCTAAGAGCTGCTGGAACTAGGTTAATTATGGGACAACAACAATTCTAGTGGGTAAATGACATGACTTTAACTTTATGACTTGAGATTTCACACAGGTCCTAGGAGTGCAAAAGGACAACAGATGTGTACATGGTGAGTTTAAGAAGTTGTACTTTGTGAACAAAGGTGCAAGTAGACGTTTTTGTGCAGTGACAATGGACTCTGTGATGTCTTGAAGGGTATACATAGTCTTAATTGATTTGAATTACAAGTATTTTGTTTGTGATACAGTGAACCAGCATAGTATGAGATGAAATGATTTGCAGATTTGTTATATAACAAGAAGTGATTACATATTATCATGCTGCCTAAACCTTTACAAGGTCTAAATGGATAATGTGGACCTGAGAGTGGACTTCACTGTCAGGTGGTGAGTCAAAACACATATTCTACAAGATGGAAGACATTGTTTTGAAGGGAATATCTTATGCAGTA